AGTAAAAAAGAAGTGATGATATCACTACCAGTGAGAAGTTAGTTAAAGCAGACGCTTAAATAACAAATCGAAAGACAGACAAATGATAAAGATTTACAACGAATTAAAGTTAAACTTTATAACACTTTTCGCTAATATTTCCTAATCAATCGGGTGAGACAGAGATAGTCAAACATACTTTTTTCATCCTGTTCTATTGATCTGGCGAAATAATAACTTACATAATATGAAAGTGTTTAAATGAAAATGAGTTTTATTCTCTGGGTAATTGACAATTGTCTCCAGCAGCTCTGTCTGTCTTGTGAATAGATTAGATTAGATCATTTTGACTGAGTGTAGAATATAAGGATTATGATTGATTATAGTAGGAATTTAGAGTGAATAATGCCCATTTTTGTATTACGAATTGTGTCTGGCTACGCATACCATCCTATCACGAAGATGTCACGAAAGTTAATGGATGACGCTGAATTCTTTTTTTAAATATGTCGCCAGTGTGATCATTAATAAATTTGAAGTAAATAAGTCAGCAATGCAAGCTCCTACATCATATACAAATAAACTTTAGTTATAAACGTTACAAAGTTTAAATCATCTGGTGTCTAAAAACTGATAATTATCTTGCAAAAAATTATTTTGTAGACAACCAAAATGTCAACACACACAGAGGAATTTGTCAAGTAGCAAAGTTAAAGACGTATTGATTCAAGAGAATGATTGAGTCAGTGACCTTGAAACGGCCAATCACAGCTCGCTTATATAGTAATTACCTTGAAACCGATGGAGTAAATCATTCATCAAGGATTATAGATTCATTATGGATAGAATTTTATTTCCATAGATTATATCTCAGTGTTATACAGTAATATTTACTGATGACAACGTTTCGAGCAAAACTATTGCTCATTACCATGTTTTTTTCGATTATCACTACTATTAGTAGCAGGTAGTACTGTCGTTATTTCATCTTACATTCAATTAATTTCTCTTAGGATGTGTGCAAACAGAAAATCACAGTGTGTTGAGTGTTGTCAATCTCGGTGAGCAGTCTTCACACTATCTATTATATGATTTGAAATCAGACAGGTTAAAATCTTGTTATTTAGTGCTATATGGTTTATTCATTATAATAAAGGATTTTGTATTTCCCAATGAATGAAAAACAAAACGATATTGCTGTTTTTACTGACGTTTCGCTATTTAATACTTCTAATAACTTTATCAAAGTATTATTAAACCGGAATTTACAAAATCTCAGTATATATATATATATATAAGTACATCTGCTATGGTATCAAAGCAAAGTTTACTAACTTGATCATCGTTTATCAGTCTGGGGGCATTTTTCGTTGTCCAACTGGCCAATTGGTAAAGATAATAAAATCAAGTATAAACTGTTGGATTTGATCAGTGTGTAAAATTACAAAAGCAGTGTGTGTTTACACAATGAAATTGCTTATCACATTCGTGTTGATTTTGTCACTTCATGGAGGAGGGGAGGGAGGTGTTGTAACCAGGTCAGATGCTGTTTTAGTCCATCATTCCTGTTCAGGCGATTTGGATTCCACTTGATATGAAGTGCTTCTGATATTAGACGTTCTTTGTGATTTCTGAAATGCTTTTTCTGGATCATTTCAATATTGTCAAAATCAATTTTGTGGCCTGATTGTATAGCTTGTAGACCTATCGCTGATGATTTTTCAAGCTTTTCTAGTTGAACCGTATTTTTCGGTGGTCGAACAGATGCTCTACGGTGTTCATTTGTTCTGATTTTGATTTATCTTTGGCGATGTTTGTCCGATGTATATCGCGTCACATTCCAAGCATTTTATTTTATAAACACAATTCGATAGAGAATCTTTAGGGATTTGGTCTTTTATATACGGACAAGGTTGTTTCGTAGGGTGTCTGATGTTTTGAAGAAAGCTTTGATGTCGAGCTTATTGAGTGCTCTTCTGATATCGTCTGACGTCTCTGCTCTATATGGTTTATACATATGTTGAATTTATTTGTTTTTTTATGAAGTTTTTTCGTGTCTCAGTACTATCAAATTTAGATGTTTATAATTGTATTAATTTTACAACAATAACTTCAGCTTATTTGTTAATATGTGCTTGCATGAACGTTATTCATTTAAGAAGTTAATTGGTGGAATCCAGGATGCGCATTTCATCCTATTTGGGACTCGTCATCTGGATGTACCTGCATTCCTCAGTGAGTGATGATGTCCCCCCTGAGGCTTGAACCCAGTGCCTGCAAAGCATTATCCACTAGACCACCAGGGCCATGAGAGCCATGTCTTGTGCGACGGGTCATATTAATGAATTAAATGAATTTTAGATTTTCCCGTCGATTAATTGGACCAACTATTTACTTAAGACTGACGTTAACAGATTACCGCTAATCAGTTCGAATTCATATATTTGTAAAAACTGATCATTACTCATTGCAACAATGTTAATGTGGTTGTATATGGTTGACGTTAAAGAAGTGTGTTGAATACTCCAGATTGTTGACATTTGCACTTGTTACATGTATTCAACGTGTGACTTTAATGAATATAGATAGATTACAGAATCTGTGATTAGTCTTTCTCCACCCACATCTAGTCGTATTACATTTTCGTATACAAATCAAATCTTGTCGCAATCAGTAAATGTGGTTTTATCCCACTCATTTACAGCTACAAATGAATTTCCTTCTAAATCACTTACTGTACACTTGAGTACCTTGATACGATTATCAGCGGCATTAGTTTGTGCTCGAAACGTGGTCATCAGTAGATAATATTACTGTATAACACTGTGTAATTTTATCGAAATAAAATTTTTATCCATAGCAGAGTTATACTCCACCACAGTGCACTAATTTTTATCCTTATATCACTAACAACGAATACTGTTAAGGATTTAAGGAGAAAATCCATCAACTAAACCATAACCAAACAGTTCTTAACCTTAACACTAACTCCTATAGCCTAACTCTAAAGGATAGATGAATACCGATACCTCTAGGCAAAAACTGAGAGCCATTCTTGCAAACTTTTTTAGTAAGAAACCCGTTTAAAAATCGTACACTTCTTCACATTCTATTTTTCACGAATAAACCATTTTCGTATTTAATTGGTGGATGGTGACTAGCAGCGGAATCCAGAATGCGCATTTCGTCCTATTTGGGACTGGTCATCTGTATGTACCTGCATTTCTCAGTGAGTGATAATGTTCCCACCGAAGCTCGAACCCAGTGCCCATAGTTTCAAACGCCACAGCATTATCCACTAGACCACTTGGGCCATGAGAGCCGCCTTTTTGTGCAACCAGTCACATTGATTTAATTGAATTTTAGAGAACAAGCACTTCGGTCCAATCAATCAATGGGAAAACCTAAAATTCAGTTAGACAGTTTTCGTGCCTAAGTTGACTAGTTCTATCCGGAACGTGCTGCTTCACGCTCACTCAGTCCATTGTTTCCTTGGATCATTATTCTGACAAGCTGAAATATGCAGTTTTCTTTCACCTCTTTAAAATAACACTGTGCTTCATTCATCAACAAAAAATCACTAATACGCTACCTAGTATCTAATATATGCCTTCTCTTGTCAAAGGATAGAAAATATCTCAAAGAGTAGATTATTCCGACAGCTAATTTCACATTGTATAAGCGTCGATTTCACTTTGTTCTTTTTCCCTCTTCTGTCATTCAACCTTAAAATATTTATTTTATAAAGACTAACTTTACTCAGAAGACTCCTATGCGGTTTATTTATTTCTAACATTTACCTATCTCAATTCTCTTTTTATACATTCTAGAAACTTTGGTTTTTTTGTTTTAAATTTCAAAACATGTTTTACATACTCTGTCAGTCATTATATTGCGCAGGAATAATTATTAAAAGTACACTGAATCAGCAGCATATTACTAAACTCACTCATTTTTCTTCTGCTACAAATTCTTGTTTAGCAGTAACACATTGTTCAACCATCGGAGGTTAACTGTCATAGTAACACGTATTTCTTAGTTAAATAGTTGTCGTATGACGACTGAGTTTACAAAATATACAAAACAAAAATAAACTCTACTAGTTGTTCTTCTTGGTAGTATAATGTAAAAAAAATGAGGTTGTAAAACGTCTTATGCTTTGTTTATGTCTTCACTTCATGCGAGACGTTATAGGCGTTAATTATTTTTGAGTAACCCTATCCGGACGACAGAATAAAGTCCACTGTCTAATAAAATATAATCATAGATCGGATAAGATTTTAGTGATGCACAGTAGTGTAGTCTGTATATTCCACTCTTTTGAATAAGGGAGCATTATCGGGTCTAAGTTCCTTTATATCAGAATAAACTTCCTTCTACATTATTATTAAATTTATTATGCGTTGAAGTTTCTGTAGCAATTTGGATAAGTTTGGGGGTGGAGTTTCTAGCACCACGCCCCAACCCTCCCTCTTTATACGGGCTTAGGACCGACTAGAAAACTAGCCAGCTAGTATTCGAGGCAAGGGTTGGACACTCGCTGAGAAGACCGCTGGGTGACATCGCGCGTCAGTCCGTCGCTCGAGTTGAACCTGAAAGGGAAGCGGCGAGTGTGTCGTGAGTGCAAGAGTGACATGGAGGAGATCATGTGAAGAGGAGCTGAAAGAGTATGGACTAACATGGATTCAGGTGAAAAGTACAGCAGAAGACAGAAGCTAGTGGAGACGTGCCGTTGAAGCCCTATATTTCACTAGGAACCCAAGGGAACAATAATAATAACCTTAACATATCCTTGGCTTAAAACATAACTTAATCTTTCTCAAAACTAAGCTGAATCTTATCAGATATCCCATTGAATAGCATAACACTTCAATTAGCCTATTTTATTGATGATCACAAGATTATTTACCGGATTTCACTCAGTTGCTCAGTAAGCGTTTAAAGGTCATTGGTGCGGTCGTGAACTCCATTGGCAGTTATTGGTGCTTAAAGTTAAATTTAGGCCTTTTTTTCTGTAAACTATGGTAATACATATTATAGAATCCTCAGAATATATTCTGTTACTTAGTATACAGTCTTCAAGTAAGTTAATATTTCGACAATGTGTCATCAAAAGCACTATTCTTCAATTTCCTGTCAGAAATCCAATGAGGATGTAAAATTTTGCAAAATAAACTTGGCACGCTTTCGTCTGAGTATGCTTAAAACAGGATACAATAGGGTTCTTCGTTTACGATTTGAATTATTTCAGGTAACTGGTCTTCGTATTACGTGTTTAGATGAATGTTGTAATTGTATTAGATGTTACTTTTGGTTATTTTAAAAGGCGTTTTATTAACTTTCTACACAGTTGGAATACATTTTAAAACGTTTGCTATGCTCGTAAACACCTCGCGATATCTCTTATCCTCACGTCGAAAAATCTGTAGCAGTAAGTTCAGACCTGTCTGAAAACAGGCGAGAGTACAAATTGCCATTCAAGGATATATTTGGATAATTTAAATAGGATAAAATAAAGTAAACGGAGCTCATTCTGATGAATGGGAAATTAAATATCCTAGTGATTTAAGTAGGCCACAAGTAGTGACTGAACCTAACAAATCCAGGAGTAACAGTTTCAAAACTTTTGAAGGATGCTTCATTCATTATCATAACCTGTTATGTTTTGAAGTTTTCAGTGCCATAACGCGTCCCAGTGTTACAGAGAAAAGATCACTCTTAAGCAGGAATCATTCCCAGTTAATTTACGTATTCAAAGGTTCAATGTTTACCAACAGTATACGCTGATTTCACCAATCAAAATAATCACACATCCCAAATATCATATTCAACATTCTTCAGTATCAAGAAGTCATAAACATAAGTGTAATCATAAAATTAACGTCAGTGACTAGCGATCATTATCTGATTAGGCTTGACACAACCTATATATTCCTAACGTTCATTAATGTTATCAAACTCTTGAATTTCGGTTATCATTAGTTTAATCATTAAGCTAACCGACTTAAACTAAATCATTAGTTTGACATAGTTTAAAACTAGTCACAACCATCAAATGTGAATACATTTTTAATTTGTCACCTAAATAAAACAAATATAGTTGCCATGGTAATATTTAAAGCCCTTAGGTTATTTCAACCTGTTTAGCATCGTCACTGTATTTCATTCACACTATCCAGTTTAAACAAGCCTTGATGTAGTAAAAACAAAAAAAAATCGAACCTCATTTTAAGTCGTCTTTTGGTCAATATGTCACTCGGAGATATCGCACATATTCACAAAGCACAACCATATATCGGAGTCAAAGGAACACAGTGAGTTTGCGTGTATGTACAAATTATTTTACTTGTTAGGACTATGTGTAATCATTTGAACTATGCACGTGACATTAGGGGTGTAGTACGTTTTTATATGCTGACTATTATATTTATTAATTTTGTGTCATATGCACTCTAACATGTCCATGCATAGAACACATTTAATTTTCTGAAGTCATTTTGGTGACGTATGTCCCGAAAAATCAATATTCTGGTTATTGTGATGTTATCACACTTAAACAAAACAAAACAAATTATATAGGTGTGTCTGTTAGTATTTAAAATTCTGCCTTATAGACTTGTTTATCTCACCAATTGAATGTTCCATTTAAAATGAACCATGAGGATAATCAACTTCAGAATCTTCACTATGGTCGATGTGATGTAGGAGAGACAAATGTTGAATGTTCTTATTTCAATATTCTAATCCTATTGAAATTTTGTCTAACTTAACCTATCACAGTCACTGGATTCCTTTTTTATGTCTCACAAAAACTGTAGCCGAAATAATTCGTCTGGAACAGTATCTCATATGACAAAAAAAAGAATAATTATTTTTATTTTTATCTCAATCGATCCATTTGCTATATAGACTAACCAACGTCGAAATCCAATATTCAGTATAAATCTGATTGGTTATCTCTCGACCAATCATAGCGAAGTATTATCCTTTAGCTATATAGGACATTATTATTTGTCAGTTGGGTTATTCATTGGTCTCAAAATGTTTTGACATTAGTAAATCTACAATGATCTCTTTGACAAGCAGTAAACAGGATTACTGCCTCATATCGATTTATTTATTGATGCATGGAGTTATATGCTTCTAGTGTATTACTTACTACAGATGGGTTATTTTTAAAAAAATTTCTCCGATGATTACTACGCCTGACTGAATTAAATGATTATTTGGTTTCCTTTTTATATTGTGGACAATTTTTAATAATACCAGTATTACTGGCAATTTTTCTAACCATGTAAGTTTTGAAATTTAAACTGAAATTTATTCACATATCACTTTTTGATTTCCACTGAAGACACACAAGTTTTCTGAGTTTTTCCTCTGAAACTGGTACAAACAATAGAATAATAATTAATATTTAATCAGAAGCTAAGCTCTTGTTTTAAATGAATATGATAACTCATCCAGGATACATGATTTGCCGGTCAGTTGACTGAGGGGAGTAGAAATTAGGTAGTAGGATAATTGTGTTGCTAATTCTACTGATCGGAATTTAGTGAATATAGAAGACTTTAATGCTGGTACAGGGAATGCTAAAACCGTACACAAACTTTTGAAAAGCTTGTTGTCTTAGTGCATCGTTATCTTTAAAATCCTTCACTATCTGAGATCTCTGCTACTTTGAGTAAACAGTTTGGGCTAAGACCGCCTAAAATCTAAGTGCTGGTGAACTGTGGTAATTAAACACTACAAATAGTATTTCTCTTAATTCCTTCATATCCTTAAGTCTAGAGGTTTGTTTAAAAGCTTGAGCCGCGTTAACACTTCTTCTGCCACATTATCTAGGCGAAGTTCAACAATTGCGTCCCAGGAGTGTGAATGCTCCAATGATCTTGAATGCATGCTAGTCGTTGGCTAACGGCATCTGTCATTATCATAGCTGAAATATCAACCCTAGTCATCAAATAGGGAGCAAGTTTCACCCAGATCTCGCTTTTAATTACTGTTTGGACAACGTGTTAACATCTCGTTAGGGTTAAGTTAGGCATTGGGGTTAGGGTTACTGTCATAATTGGGATTAGGGTTAGGCTTACCGCAGGATAAGGATTGTCATTAGGGTTAGGATTAAGGTTAGAGCTAGTGTTAAGTTTAGGGTTAGGGTCAGGATTAAGGTTAAGGTTGCGACTAGGGACCAATTAATAGTTAATGTCGTTTATTTCAATTTGTTTTATTATCCTCATTTTCCTTGTATGTAGTCGTCGATGCCCTTATTTAAACCATAGTAATTTAACCGAGGGCTTTGAAGATAACTACACAGCAAGAGAAGAGAGATGAACGGTTCACAAAACAGCACATCTTCAGTCACTTCGGTGAATACATCTACAGAAACTAGTCCAACTTAGCAGCTGATACTCTTCATCATAACTGGGACTATTTTTAAGTTGTCAGAAAAAGATAATCTGTTTAATATGTTTTCATGCATTTTCTTGTGAATAAACGTCATTTTTTGTGCAAACATTCTACATTTTTGGGATTGGTTGGCTGAAGGTCACTCGTGCTTTCGCATCCCTTGGAACGCTATTGTTGAACTTTGCCATTATCTACTCAAACTTATTGTAGTGGTTTGTTATTTGGAAGAAATGGCTGTGTATAGGAGATGCATCATGTGAAATCTAACAGTCGAAAAAGTAAAAGATTTATTTGACAAAAAGTGTTGATCTTAATCTTTGTTTAGTGAAAATAATGTCACTTTTAGTTTTCTTTTTTTGAAAAGTCTTATCAGTAGTGTGATTGTTTTTTCTTTCAAAAACAGTTGTTTAAGTCATTATAAACGTGGATGTATTTGTCATTCAGCAGAGATAAATTTCTGTGATTCTGAATATAGGACACATTATAACTCTAGCGACTAGCCTTTCAGGTACAGCTATCCACTGAATTTGCAGTCATATATATAAATATATGTTCCGAAGCATCGAGAACGGTGAATACTTCATTTTCACCACTGTACATTTCCAGATGAGACAGTTTATCTTCTAAGAATGTCAGGTGTGTAGTTTGGATCAGAGAGAGTGGCACTTTTGGTGTATACATTTCTAAGTATTATGGTCAAAACAGTCATGCATGGGACAACAGTAAAGAATAGAGGCCGAATAGCTCAATGGTAACGTCTCTGACTTCTGTACTCACTGGGTGACATGGGTTCGAATCTCAGAAGGGACATGACTTCTTTCAAAGTTGCAGGTACGCCTTGCTGACGAGTGCCAACTTGCACGAAACCTAGGTCCAAAGCTTCCTGTCGATTGCCTCCAACTATCTAATATCAGCAAATAGACACCAACTTCAGACGACAACCTTGAAACAGCCAACCAGATTCTTATGAGTGAAAAGTGGTACTTAATTTACAAAGAAGCGTATCTACGAAATATATGTAATAAAAATGAATCATATAGGATATATATCTCTAATATGCTGCAAAAACTGGTCCCAGATTCTCAGAGAAGTGGTTATAGACATATCAAACCAATGTATTCCCTATTTCTCTAGCTGTAGCAGATACTGGTTGCATATACGCAATATATTACTAAGGGAGAGCTTTGATTTCGAGATGAAAGTGTCTAAAAAACCACCAGTCATATACGACTTACAAACAACTTATACAGACTACCTCATATAAAGTGATTGCATCTGAATGTATAACCATCAATAGCCCGGCAATACTTTTGTAGAGTCATTACCCTCCACACATGCATGTTTTATTCCTCCCTATCAACACATTATCCACAAAGAAGTCAAAAACCAAATCTAGGAGATATTTTCAACGAGGATTATGACTAGGAAACATTTATAGTGCTGAGCTATCTGATTGGTAAAATCAAGTTCATTTGACTTTGGTGTCTATTGTTTACCCTTGCCCCATAGGTGACATATATAACATGGTATGTAGAGCATTTAGTTGACAAAGTTGATGAACTTGATGATGTTAAGTCACTATTTTTCGCTTGTTTTTTGTGTATTAGGCAGTAAATGTAAAAAGGGTAAAATAGACGTTTGAATTCAAACTTCTAACCATATATCTCATGGTTTATAGAACTAAAACTTCCCAACTGTATTTTCATAATATTCACTAAAGTTGACTATCAGTAGGATCCAGAACGCTATCGTAGCCCAATGACCTAAGCCCAAAAACATCACTGGCTCCCCAACCAAGTAAATAACCTCATAATTACCTGAAAATATCGTCAAAGACAGCGTTTGTACTAATAGCTGATATGTCCAACGTAGAGGGAGTATTTCGTTCTAGTAAAACAAATCAACTTGAAATTTAGAAACAATTATCTCAACAAATAACTCTGAAGTTAGCTGACAATACCAAAGTTCAAAATATTCACGTTACTGTTGTGCATAACAGCAAATAGCTTTTTTTTCCCCTCTACATGAATCTGACATTTTGATATACTTGACTTGATTGAATCTTTGATGGTCTTATTTGTTGTAATCTTGATGCATTTGTGCGAAAGTTGTTTAAATGAAATAAATAAACGATAGGTTTGTCTATACATTAGCAACTAGATTGAGTTATTTGGATATTTTTTTTACTAATTTAGGGATAAAAAAAATCTATCAAATTATCTAAAATCTATGTTTTGCTTCAACTCAAGTTGAAAATTGAGGTTCTTGTTTATTCTTGGGAGTCAACTTTACTATATCTTTGACTTTTGATGCTTAGTTGTCATTTCTGTGGCCGGAGGGATTATCACTTATAAATACACATCATTTCAAGTAGTGTGCATAAACTAATATTTATTCTTATTTATATTTATTTTAATTACAGCTTGATTCCACACCGTTTTCTTGGTACAAAGTGAAATTTTCAGCATGTGATATCGGTAGCCCAAATTTTTCAGGCCGACCATAGATATCAGGTGTGAGTCGGCAGGGGGTCGAGCCCCGCACCATGTGCATGGTCGGCGAGAGTCCCAGGCGCTGTGCCACCGATGCACATATGAATGAATTGGTTGGTAGGGATTTTGTTTGTTCGCGGTTTGACTACGGATTGATATAAGTTAAAGAACCATTGAAAACAAACCACTGGAAGTACTGGATAGCCAACTGTTTCATCCTAGTTTGAGAATCATGGGAAGTACGCACCCACTACAGGGAGGTTCGAACCCAGGACCTTCCTGTTACAAGGCTAACGAGCTCGTATACCATTCAGCCACTGGGACCCGGTTCACTGGTCAATCCATGAATTCTACCAATTCGTGATTTAGCGGGACCACAAACCAATGTCATCGTTGAGAACTCCATCCTCATTCCCGACTGGATGGACCCCCACTGGTCATGATTTCTCACTAGAACTCAGGAAAACTCCATCCTGTAGCTAGTCGCTAGTGAGCATCAGTGGATGCGTACTGCTGATGATTCCCAAACTAGAATGAAACAGCTGACTGTCCAGTACTCCCTGGTTTTCCATGTTTCTCTAAGTGATATTATTCTGTGGTCTAATTTGAAATATAAGAACAAGTTCAGCGAAGAGTCTCTTTTCGGCGAATTCATTCACTTAGCTGTACAATAGCATTTATGTATAACTATTTTGTGTATGTGTATACATTAGGATTGTCAAACAAAAAGTAAGAAATAGTTAGGGTTACTGTTTACGTCATCATAATGCTTCTAAAGTGTGATGTATAGTCAAAATTGTAACTAGGACGAATTAAGATTGGCAAGTATTGACAAGGGTTGCGTAATATGAAATAGGATGGTAATGGGGACACATGGCCAAAAAATAAATTATGTAATAGGTAGAAAGAGTAAATAAAGGGTTCGTTAAGAAGAAGATGTTACTAAAATGCCATATAAAATTCAAATACAAAAAAAAGAAAACAAAACATTATTATTAACAAAGTTGTCGAAATTGGAATTATACCTTAGGAAGAAAGAGGGAGTGGAGAAGTTTCTTCTGTGTGCATAAATCAGGTTTTTTTTATTCGGACCACTAAGGCCTCTTTGGCGATGCAAAGTATACGGAAGCTTACCGTTTTCTGGAGGCTTCTTTTGACTTTGTAGATGACTTTGAATGAGTGACCAGTGTTGAATGTATGTTTCGTAGCCGAGCGGGATAATATTCTTTGAGTCTTTTGGATGAAATACTCATTGAACGACCTATATATCTAGCTCCACATGAGTAATTAAATTGGTAGATACACATAGAAGTGGTTAAATGCGATTGCTTATCTTTGAAGTTGTTGAATAACAATATTTGACTTGAGAATACCTGAAATAAACTACTAATAT